TCTTCGCCCATACCTACCCCACGCCCCCCACCTGGCCCCCTCCTGGTCTGGCATTCCCACCCCGAGAGAACTCTGTTCTTGGGACCCCCCACTCGACAAATTCTAGCCCAGATCATACCCACGCCCCCCACATGGCCCCTTCCTTGTCTGGCATTCTCACCCCGAGAAAACTTTGTTCTTGGGACCTATCACTCGACAAATTCTTCGCCCAGACCCTACCCACGCCCCCCACCCGGCCCCTGCCTCGTCTGGCATTCTCACCCCGAGAGAATTATATTCTCGGCACCCTCCACTCGACAAATTCTGGCCCAGAACCTGCCCACGCCCCCCACCTGGCCCCCTCCTGGTCTGGCATTCCCACCCCGAGAGAACTCTGTTCTTGAGCACCCCCACTCGACAACTTCTGGGCCAGATCCTACCCACGCCCCCCACCTGGCTTCTTCCTGGTTTGGCATTCTCACCCCGAGAGCACTCTGTTCTTGGGGCCCCCCACTCGACAAATTCTGGCCCAGAACCTACCCACGCCCCCCACCTGGCCCCTCCCTCGTCTGGCATTCTCACCCCGACAGAATTCTGTTCTCGGACCCCCCACTCGACAAATTCTGGCCCGGATCCTACCCACGCCCCCCACCTGGCCCCTTCCTGGTCTGGCATGCTCACCCCGAGAACACTTTTTCCTTGGGACCCATCACTCGACAAACCCTTCGCCCAGACCCTACCCACGCCCCCCACCCGGCCCCTGCCTCGTCTGGCATTCTCACCCCGAGAGAACTACCTTCTTGGGACCCTCCACTCGACAAATTCTGGCCCAGAACCTGCCCACGCCCCCCACCTGGCCCTCTCCTGCTCTGGCATTCCCACACCGAGAGAACTCTGTTCTTCGGACCCCCCACTCGACAAATTCTGGCCCAGATCATACCCACGCCCCCCACCTGGCCCCTTCCTGGTCTGGCATTCTCACCCCGAGAGCACTCTGTTCTTGGGACCCCCCACTCGACAACTTCTGGCCCAGAACCTACCCACGCCCCCCACCTGGCCCCTTCCTGGTCTGCCATTCTGACCCCGACAGAACTCTGTTGTTGAGAGCCCCCTCTCGTCAACTTCTGGCCCAGAACCTACCCGCGCCCCCCACCTGGTCCCTTCCTGGTCTGGCATTCTCACCCCGAGAGAACTCTGTGCTTGGGATCCCCCACTCGACAAATTCAGGCCCAGAACCTACCCGCGCCGTCCACCCGCCCCCTTCAAGGTCTGGCATTCTCACCCCGAGAGAACTCTGTTCTTGGGACCCCCCACTCGACAAATTCTCGCCCAGAACCTACCCACGGCCCCCACCTGGCCACTCCCTGGTCTGGCATTCTCACTCCGAGAAAACTCCGTTCTTGGGACCCCCCACTCGACAAATTCTGATCCAGAATCTATCCACGCCCCCCCCTGGCCCCTCCCTGGTCTGGCATTCTCGCCCCGCCGTCGACCTGATCCGACACCCCCACCCCGCCTTGGAACCACGAGTTCTCGCCCAATATCGACCAACACCCTCCTCCATGCCCCGGCACCTCCACCCCTTGGAGCTTTTGTTTTTGTGGCCCCCCACCCCGCGAATTCTCGCCCAAAATCGACCCACACCTCTCCTCTATGCCCCCTCCATGCCCCGGCACCCCCAACCTTTGGAGCGTCGGTTTTTGAATCCCCCCACCCCACGATTTCTCCCCCAAAATCGACCAACACTCCCCTCCATGCCCCCCCCATGCCCCGACACCCCCAACCTTTGGAGCCTTTGTTTTTGAAGCCCCCCATCCCACGACTTCTCGCCCCGAGAGAATTATATTCTTGGGACCCTCCACTCGACAAATTCTGGCCCAGAACCTGCCCACGCCCCCCACCTGGCCCCCTCCTGCTCTGGCATTCCCACCCCGAGAGAACTCTGTTCTTGGGGCCTCCCACTCGACAAATTCTGGCCCAGATCATACCCACGCCCCCCACCTGGCCCCTTCCTGGTCTGGCATTCTCACCCCGAGAGAGTTCTACTCTTGGGCCCCCTCCACTCGACAACTTCTGTCCCAGAACCTACCCACGCTCCCCACCTGGCCCCTTCCTGGTCTGCCATTCTGACCCCGAGAGAACTCTGTTCTTGAGTACCCCCACTCGACAACTTCTGGGCCAGATCCTACCACGGCCCACACCTGGCCTCTTCCTGGTTTGGCATTCTCACCCCGAGAGCACTCTGTTCTTGGGGCCCCCCACTCGACAAATTCTGGCCCAGAACCTACCCACGCCCCCTACCTGGCCCCTCCCTGGTCTGGCATTCTCACCCCGACAGAATTCTGTTCTCGGACCCCCCACTCAACAAATTCTGGCCCGGATCCTACCCACGCCCCCCACCTGGCCCCTCCTGGTCTGGCAATGCTCACCCGAGAACCTTTCCACCCAAGCTTCTCCTCGAACAAACCCTTTCGCACGCCTAGGGCCAGACCCTCCCATCGCCCCCCACCGGCCCCCTGGCCTCGTCTGGCATTTCTCACACCCCCGAGAGAACTACCTTCTTGGGACCCTCCCTGACAATTCTGGCCCAGAACCTCCCACGCCCCCCACCTGGCCCCCTCCTGCTCTGGCATTCCCACCCCGAGAGAACTCTGTTCTTGGGACCCCCCACTCGACAACTTCTGGCCCAGATCATACCCACGGCCCCCACCTGGCCCCTTCCTCGTCTGGCATTCTCACCCCGAGAGAACTACCTTCTTGGGACCCTCCACTCGACAAATTCTTCGCCCGGCCCTAACCCCACGCCACACCCACCTGTCCCCCTCACTGGTCTGGCATTCCCACCGCCGGAGAACTCTGTTCTTCGGACCCCCACGTCCGACAAATTCTACCCAGAATCTACCCACAGCCCCCACCTGGCCCCTTCTGGTCTGATTCTCACCCCGAGGGCACTCTGTTCTTGGAGCCCCCCACTCGACAAATTCTGGCCCAAAACCTACCCGCGCCCCCCACCTGGCCCCTGCCTCGTCTGGCATTCCCACCCCGAGGGCACTCTGTTCTTGGGCCCCCCCACTCGACAAATTCTGGCCCAAAGCTGCCCACGCTCCCACCTGCCCCCTCCTGGTCTGGCATTTCCACCCCGAGAGAAGACTCTGTTCTTCGACCCCCCCACTCGACAAATTCTACCCAGGTCATACCCACTCCCACCCCACCCGGCGCCTGCCTCGTCTGGCATTCTCACCCCGGGAGAGAAACTACCTTCTTGGGACCCCCCATTCGACAAATTCTGGCCCAGAACCTGCCCACGCCCCCCACCTGGCCCCCTCCTGCTCTGGCATACCCACCCCGAGAGAACTCTATTCTTGGGACCCCCCACTCGACAACTTCTGGGCCAGATCATACCCACGCCCCCCACCTGGCTCCTTCCTGGTCTGGCATTCTCACCCCGAGAGAGTTCTACTCTTGGGACCCCCCACTCGACAACTTCTGGCCCAGAACCTACCCATGCTCCCCTCCTGGCCCCTTCCTGGTCTGCCATTCTGACCCCGAGAGAACTCTGTTCTTGAGCACCCCCACTCGACAACTTCTGGGCCAGATCCTACCCACGCCCCCCACCTGGCCCCTTCCTGGTTTGGCATTCTCACCCCGAGAGCACTCTGTTCTTGGGCCCCCCCTCGACAAATTCTGGCCCAGAACCTACCCACGCCCCCCACCTGGCCCCTCCCTGGTCTGGCATTCTCACCCCGACAGAATTCTGTTCTCGGACCCCCCACTCGACAAATTCTGGCCCGGATCCTACCCACGCCCCCCACCTGGCCCCTTCCTGGTCTGGCATGCTCACCCCGAGAACACTTTTTCCTTGGGACCCATCACTCGACAAACCCTTCGCCCAGACCCTACCCACGCCCCCCACCCGGCCCCTGCCTCGTCTGGCATTCTCACCCCGAGAGTGGGAAATGTTACTCCTGAGGTTTTGGCACTTCGGGGCCGACCTCTTGTTTCACTGAGTCGCGTGATTACCATATCGAAAACCAAAGGAAAACGTGAAGCCGTATCCTACATTATGGCACACAAAACGTTCGCGTGCAACTTTATTCCCACCCAAAAAGCACATGTGATAATTGCATCCTCACCAGAATCACACATTACGTATGCCATATCATGACCACGTGAACAATATTGCTGTGGACAATACGTGCCACGACATAAACAATGGAAACACATGTTGCGACATAGTGGTAACATATGTTGTCAGGACGACGCTGAGCACAGCGGTAACCCTAAATCGTTGTCAACGCTCGTGCAAGTGATAGTGTCCACATGCGCCATATAACCACGCATGTGAAACGTGCTATATGTGGCACGCAATACACCAATGTATACTTAACACACGGTGGTCACGATGCAACGTATGACAAAACTGTCGGCTGCTCTACTGGTCACATGGCCAATCTCGTGGGAAAATGGGGGGACCCCCTCCGCGGCGGCAGCGGCTAATCCACCATCCCCGCCCCCTGGAAGGCGAATTGGGGGAAATCACAAGAGCGAAACGGAGGAGGAATACTGGGGGGGAGGAGCGATCGCCAACTGATGTCCGCCGAGCACCCCTGGGGGAACCAACTCGACGCCAGTGGCCTGCCCAAGCATCCCAAACCCACCCCCCGCCCCCACCCCCGCAGGAATCGTATACACTCAAGGTCTCGCAGCCGAGGAAGGCTAATTCAGAAGCCTCCTCTTCCTCCTCCTCCTCCTCCTCCTCCTCCTCCTCCTCCTCCTCCTCCTCATCCGCATCCTCATCCTCCTCAGTAACGTGCGTTTGTGCTGGGGTTTCTCTTTGGAGGGGGAGGGCGAGGGGAAGGAGGAGGAGGGTTGGAAAGTAGGAGGGGGGGGCAGGAGGGGATAAGGAGGAGGACGATTCGTTGTGCCGCACCAGAGCACCGCGTAGCAAACAATGGCTCGCTGCCTGCGCGTCCAAGCGCGCCCGTCTATCGCAATGCAAACGAGCCTGTGCTTCTCTCAACCTTGGCCCGCTTCTCGACGATCACTTCCTTGTCGTCCAACTCCACGCGCTTGCGGTACAGCTTGTTGTCTTGCTGCGAGGCGTGGTCGAACCCGTTCTCGAGTGCCACTACGCGCGGCAGATTGTACCTGTATTTAGTGCCATCTGGCATCAGGAGCTCGCGACTCTCGAACGCCAGCTCGTGCGTGGCCACCGTGGGACTCTTGGCCTTCGGCGTCCGCTTCGGGGCAACCGCAGCGGCCGCAGGAGGCTGAGGAAGCCACCTGGGCAGCTCTTTCGGCTCGGGCTCATTCGTCACGGCCTTGGCCTTTGCCTTTGCTTTCGGCACTGGGAGAGGCAGCACTGACCATCCCCAGCACGTCTGACTGCTGCCAGGCTTCGAAGCCTTCGTCCCGTCGAGGTACAGCTGCGGGCCCTTGCCGTCGTTATCGCCGATGTCCACCAACATCTGGCGGCTCACGTATTGTGCTTCTTGGGGTTCCACGACGCGACCCCAGAGAAGAAGTTCAGCAGGGTTGTCCTTCTCATCTGTCTTCATCGGGATGAGTTTCGGGCCAGCGCCATCCTTCGACGACGGCACGCCGTAGGCTTTGTTCATCTTGTAGGGGTCCCCACAAGCAACCTCAGGGGGAATGGGGAGGGAGAGGGAGGAGACGACCATGATGGTCGTCTCCTCCGTCTCCCTTCCCCCTCCAGAGGATGAGGAGGACTATGAAGGAAGAATATGGTCGGACCATCTTCTTCCTTCATGGTCGTCCTCATCATCTGTCCCGCCTCTGCGAACATCAAGTTCGCCTTCGCGATCAGGGTCTTCTTGTACGCCACGCTGATGGAGTCATTCTTGATCTCAGCTGCTGCCAAGTCCAGCATGTACTTGTCCAGGGGCTCTACGGCGGGCAAGGCGGGCTGCGCTACTGGCTCCGACTCCGTATCAAGCTTGGGCTTCGGCACAAACGCCTCGGTGAACGTCTGCACCACGGCATCGCTGGGATTTCTTCTGATGTGGAGCGCCTCCATCTGCAACTTGTTTTTCTGGTCGAACGTCGCTACGAGATCCTTGATCGCCCGCGCCCTCAGATCTGGGAAGATGTCGACCTTCGGGTCAACTGTCATGCAAGACTCGTCCCACCCACCCGACGCCCGCAGGATGTCAGGCCATGCTTTCGATGGCTTCGTTGCACGCGGAAGCTCTGCCACCAGCTGCGCCCTCGCTGCTTCGTACACCCCCCAATCGTGCGTCTCGACAAACTGCTGCTTCTCGCGCGCAATCTCCACGAAGCTCTGCACGATCTGCCGCAGGCCCAAGCACCCCGCCGCTGCCTTGCCGAAGTGGGTGTCGAGAAACTTGTTCCGAACAGAAGTGTCCGACGTCACCAAGACTGGCAATTGGCTGTGGACGACCTCGAGCAGAAACTTGCCCATGAAGGCCACGGGGGTGATGACGGGGCCCTCGCGCACCAGAATCGAGGTCGCCCCGACGTTCGCGGCCATGTAGAAGAACACCTCCAGACGCATCATCAGCAAGACATTCGGCTTGAAGCTACGGCTGTCGTCAACGAAGAGCGGCTTGAAGTCCTGCAGCTCGGGCCGATCCTTCAAGTCAAGGTTGACGGCGTTCTCGATGAACTTGGCAACGTCGTCGAAGCTCGGGGGGAACGCGTCGCACACCTCGGCCAAGATACCCTCGACGAGACTGTTGAAGGCCACATCCTTGCTCGCAAAGGATCCACCGTTTGCCGAGCTCTCCTGGAACATCTTGAGCATGACCTTGGACTGGCGCTGCGTTGCATCTGGCTGCGACATGATGTGTTTTTCAAACGGAGAGTTCTGGCAGATGTACTCGATGGCCCCCTTGGCTGCATCCCGAAGCCCATCCGCCTGCTCGATGACTTTCTCAGGCGTCAGAGGCTCATCTTCCTTCCCGTAATCCTCCAAAGCCTTGCCCTCAATGAGCATCTCGCGGTCGGGGTCCGATGGCCGAGGCTCCAATGTCCTACCAGTAGTGCCAGCGCCCTTCTTGTAGAGAACCATCTTGAACAGCTTCCTCAGCGTGCTGTACTGCACTACGTTCTTCTCAGTGTCCCTGTTCTTGACAATGAGCTTGACACCTTTCTTGAGAACTCCGAACAACGCTAGTTTTTCGAAAGCGTCGATGTCCTCCTCGCTGCCAGGCGCTATCCGGAGCATCATCTTCTTATCCGCGGCAAGGCGCTGAAGAAAGGTGAGCGACGTCAGCGACGTCGCTGGGCCGCCGGCTGGACCTGCATCGGTGATCGGCACCGCCGGCGCGACCGTGGAGCTGGCAACGGTAGCTGCAGATCGGGATTGGACCACCCTGGGAACAGCTGATCTGGGAATACCGACTCCACTGCCCCTCCCTCTCCCACTGCCGCGGCCGCGGCCCTTGGTCTTGCAGCCTCTCTTCGGCTTCGCCCCCTTGCCGCCGTTGCCGCAGACGCGACCGCTGGCGGCGTCAGCGGCCTCCTTGGCATCCATCTTCACCGCTTCGCTGGCATCCATGTTGGTCACGAGATCCTTGATTGCCTGGTCTGTAGCCGAACGGAGCAGAGGAAGGCCGTTCGGCCTGAGCGCGCACGAGCCCCATGGTTTCTCCCTGCGGGGCAATCCCATCATGATGATCGGCGCAATCCACTCGGGGTGGCTGTCCTTCAGATGCTTGGTGACGTTCGCGCTGAGGTGGAAGAAGTTGTCGTACAAGTTGCTCTGCAGCTGCGGCCCATCGACGGTTGCCTTGAACAGGTCCTCCATGTCGTCCCACACGGACTTGCTGTCTGGGTCATTGGCGTTGATGGGCGTCTTGCGGGAGTGCTTGAACAATGTTAAAGCTCTCTCCAAGCCTGTGTAGGTAGCCCACTGGTAGTTCTTGGTCATCTCATTCGCGATGCACCTCTTGGCCTCCTCCTGCTCGGGCTTCGGGGGCCAGTCAGACGACCACCTTAGGGTTCTCATATGGAAGGCTGGGCTTGCGAGGCCTCGCCGAAAACAAAAAAAAACTTCGAACGCTAGGAAAGCTTGGACAGTCATTTAAACAAACCAACTGAACGTATGGAACATCAAACACAATGCGTACGTTGCCCCCGTATGGTGATGATGTGAATCATGCTGATTGTTCATGCACCCAGTACACCGCATGGCTTTCGCGTGCCGACTGGCAGCAGCGGGCACGGGCTCCAACGACATCAGCACTTCCAGCGGCGTCGTGATGCTGGTGTTCTCGTTGGTGCTGTTCCCCCAGTTGACTAAGAACTTCGCCGCGTCAGCTGGGATGTTCCTCACGTACATGCGGCAGCCCTTCAGCGTCATCGTCACGGACGTCTGCACGCAGACGTTCTTTCCCTCCTTGTCAGCCAACCACGCCTCCTTGAGGCCGTCGAAGCGCGTGCCCCAGTGCAGGGCCAAGGCGCAGGCAGGGTCAGCGCCTTCAGGTGATTGCACAAACCATGGGGGCGAAGAGAGCTCGGTGCGAATCCCGATGGTCTCCATGGATTTGCGCTTAGCCGTGATGCTCGCTGCGTCTCCGCGCCCATGGTTGTTCTGCGGGTGGCGGCTGATGGCGAACCCCCCTGCTGGCGTAAGTACCTTCTGAGACCATTCAGCTGAGAAGAGCCACTTCTTGTCGATGAAATTCAAGATCTCGATGTCGCTGTAGCCAGGGCCGACGCGGTCCACGATGTTCGTGTAGATGTCACGCAAGTCGTCGCACGCAATGTCCCTGGGAGCGGCAGGGACGATCGCAGCTGCATCAGGAAGGTTGGGTGGCCGCGGCGCGGCCACCACTGCCATGGGCAGTCGGGCTGGCCCAGCAGAAGCAACGTTCACGAGAAGTCTGAGAAGACCAGTGAATGGTGCAAGCATGAACCGTAGCGGCTGCGGGCTGCGGGGGGAGGAGGCTGGGGGGCGAGGGCCCTGAATTGTAAAGGGCTTCTGGGTTGCACAAACAAGAACGATCAGAATGCGGGGAGATGCTGACGCCTGAAGCACGGCAACAGATGTTCAGGCGAACGACTTCACGGTGTCCAGGGGGGAGGAGGATGGGGCGGGAGGGACTGCGGCGATGAGGAGGAGGGGGAGGAGGAGGGGGGGGGGAAGGTGGACGAGGAGGAGGCGGATTGGAAGGAGGAGTAGCAGGAGGAGGCGGGGGCGGAGGAAGAGGGGGAGGAGGTGTTTCAACAGATTTGGTCCAGAGCTGTTTCAAAAGATTTGGCCCAGGGATGTTTCAAGGATTTGGTCCAGGAGGAGGAGGCGGACTGGCGGAGGAGGAGCGCCAGCAGGAGGCGGAGGAGGAGGAAGAGGGGGGCGAGGTGTTTCAAAAGATGTGGCCCAGGGCTGTTTCAAAGATTTGGTCCAGGGCTGAACACAGGTACGAACTCATCTCCTCGACGCTCGAAACGCGTCGCTAACCACTGTGGAAAAAACTCAGACAGTCGACGCCATGCGCACACGCTTTGGGAGCAAACCCAGCCCCCATAAGAGGTCATTTTTCCACGCTCGTGGAAAAATGGTCACCTTCTCAAGCTCAACAGAGCATTTTTCCACGACCGTGGAAAAATGACCCCTTGCAGCCCTGTGTTTTTCCACGATCGTGGAAAAATGCCCCATCTAGATGTGTTGCAATGTGGCTACCAGCGCGCCATTGGTATGTCATGGGTTGTCAGCGCATACTGGGTTAGTGTTTTCTGTTTGCTGTGCTTTTGCAGTTAACTGCAGTTAGGCGTTTTTTTTTCGTTGCGCATCCACCTTTTTGTTTGCAATGATGCAAGGTTGCACGCTGTCGGGAGCTAGCCTACTCATGCTTGCAGACGACCCCTTAGCAGGGCTAGCCTACTCATGATTCCAGTTCTCCAGAGCTAACCTACTCAGTTTTGCAAGGATGCAAGCCCCTGGGCGGGAGCTGGCCTACACATGTTTTCAGAGAGAACGCAACGCATGGTTTCATATGTAAGCGCTTGCTCGCAGCGCTCCTGTAGCAGCCAGCGGGTGCCGAAAGGCCATGTGGATGTCGGCGCCTAGTCAGCACGGCAGAATGGGCAATGGTCCCCAAACGTGCGTGGATCCTGCGCGTCGCCACGGACGCCATCGAAAACTAGCACGCTTGCGCACTCAGCGTGCCACGGTAGGAAACATTTCTTGCATATCCAGTATTCCGATCTAATGCTCAAGCTCTCAAGCTGCGGCACGCCATGCTGCTCGCAGGCGCGGCAGCACGCGCAAATAGGCTTAGCACTACTGACAGGGAGCGTCTGCTCCGAAAACGGCCCATTGAAGAGTTTTATTTGCTCACGCCTGAAAACTGCCATCGCGAAGTCTGGCATTTCGTCACGAGCCGCCTTACACCACGTCTGTATCATCAACCCACCAGTGCGGGGGATAACAATGCGATCGTGCGCCCAGCTCTCCAGGTCTACTCTGCAGGCCACTATCGTTTTTATCCTGTTTTGCTCGTCAAGGCTGATTCTCCTGCCCATGCGGTCCGCAGCAGTTCGCCAATACACAAAGTGCAGCTCGCCAGTCCCCGCCTTGGCGACCAAGCTGATATCCTCGCCCCCACTACACCCCCTCCCCAAGAGGCTCGCAAAGGAGAGCGACGGGGCGGGGGGGGGAGAGGAGGAGATGGGTGAGCGGGGGAGGAGCAGGAAGCGAACGCTCCTTGTCCCGAAAACGGAGCTCTTGCTCTCGACGCAGTCTGGCCTCCAGGTCCCCCTGTCTGCCGCGCTCGGCGGTTGCCCCTGCCGCGAGCGCGGCAGAGACCCTCCCCACCAGCGCTGCGCTGGCATCGTCGAGGGCAAGCGTGCTCCGACGTCTGCGCCGTGCAGCGGCTGGCGGCGGCGGGGGCGGGGGCCCAGGCGCAGCGCCGTGCCCGTCGCCGCCGAAGAGGATGCCGTCCGAGTCGACGTCTTCGGGGTCGGCATCGACGTCGTCTTCCTCTGGCGGCTGGGGGGGGGGGGAGGGTGACCAGAGGGTGCACGCGTGGCTGCCGTTACTGCCAGTTACTGCCGCCGTCATCGCCTCCGCCGCCGCCGCACCGCCGCAGCCGCCACCACTACTGCCGTACTACTGCCGTCGCCGCAACGGCCCATTGACCCACGCGGGTCCTGCTCGATATCACCACGGAAGACGCCAGCGCCAATGAGCTCCTCATCAACGCCGTGCATCTCCAACAGGTTGTCCATCTCGGCGTCAAGGTCAATGTCGAGCCCGAGCCCCGCTTCCATCGGTATCGGCGCGCCAGCGCCGCCAGCGCCGCCGCGGCCTTCTCCGCGCCGACGCACAGGGCGCGCAGGCACGACAGAAATATGTGTCTCTGTATCTCGACGTACATCTGGCACAAAGCTATTCCAAGCAATGCTGAACCGAACGATGCCCAATGGGTCTTCGGAGATAGGATCGGGCCTGCGCTGCAGTACGTCCGCAACGGTGGTCACCAGCATGCCTGTCTCAAGAGGATTGGCCAACACGAAATTCACAGCACCACCGTCCCACTGCAAAGTACCACGGGCGATGAACGGGCGCAGGGAATACGTCCAACATATCACAAAAGCGTGATTGCCGCCAGAACGCGGCTCAAACGACCAAACATTATCCAAGCTCGTGTCGTAACCTTCCAGGGCCTTGATGCTTCTCACATATCGCTGGGCGAGTTCCTTGATGGCCAGATTCGTCACAGTGAGCTTCGCCTCCTTTGGGACGTCTTGGATCGGCGGGCAAACGAACCTCCCAGCGTACGCGGGGGAGGCCATTTCAGCTCTCGTGAGGTGGTCCAGGCTGACACACTCGTCCACAGATATTGGATCCCCAACTTTGTTCTTCAGCCTGTCGCTCATTAACGCCATCCGAGCTGCTGGCGCGGCCTTCGACATCGTTTGGACGATGCTGTTCCACCCCTCGACCTCTTGGGTCTCCATGGGAAGGCGGGCGCGAAAGAGCACGAGAACGACCCACAACGAAAACTGCAGGCAACCAGTGAGTGCTGCCGATCTGAGCTCTTCGGGGAATAGCTCCTTCAACTTTCTTGGGATATCGCTGTATGCGGACTCTGCGGCCAGCTCCTCATGGCCCATGGAGATCAGCTGATTGCAGATATCAGCCCGCTCGCTGTCTTGCACGTGCGGTGGTTTCTCGATCAGCTTCAGAAGGATGAACGGGAATGAATTCAATCGCTTGGTAAATCGCGTCTGCCATGACGACGCCATCACGAGCAAGGTGCGCATAATGAGTTTGATGAGTTGCACCCTGTAAGACTCACTTGGGAGAAGCACCAATGCTTTGTGGAAAGGGGATTGTTCCGACGATGGGTCCACGGAAATCAAGTCGTTCATCTCGTTTTCAATTTGCTTGCGCTTCTCACACACCAGCAAACTCATGGGCGTCGGTCCCGCGTACCCCTTACCAGCTCTCGCAAAGTCTCGCGCCCTGCCACGGTGCTCTTTCACGGCCTTCTGCGCCCAGAGCATGAAGTGCACCACTGGCTGTTTCGCAACGTCGGATACAAGCACCATCACGAGCCACAAGGGGTAGTTGGTCAGCATGGTCGATTGAACTTGGCACCTTCTGCTTTGCACCTGGAACGCGACGTCCTCTTCTGTCGTCAGGGCAGTTGCCTTTCGTTTATTATTCTGCTTTCCTCGGCCCTTGCCCTTGGCCCTGCCGCGCGATGGCTTGCCCCCGTGACTCTCGCCCTCTGCAGACTCAGACGGCCTGGCCGGCCTAGCCCCTGGCGCGCCTGGTGGCACCAAGTGGCCCCATACATATGAAAACACAGGTCCAAAGAACGCAGCGCCTTTCACAACAATGTTCTCTATACTGCTCACAGACAGCCACCTGCTCCTGATGCAGCGCCCTGGCAACTGAGTAAAATGTTCCTGCGCCACCTTTGCGTCATGAACTGCAGTTGCAGCGTCCATGATTTTCTTGGGATTGCCAGTTGCTCTCCACGTACTCGAAAAAGCGGAGAGGCCGTTAATGTACGTTGTTGGTAATTTTCCTGGTTCCCATTCTGGCTCTTCAGGTTCGGCGCCCAAGCGCACGCCAGGTGGCTCGACGGCGTCCGACAGTGGCACTGACGAGAGAGGATGTTCCCATACCCATAGGTCGAACACGCTTAGTATGTTCTTCGTTAGAAGATGCCCTTGATGTAGCATGCACCATGTGACGCAGAACCATACGGAGCGCTCGTCTTTGATATTATTCTTCAGCCTGTTGGCGAATCCGACGTTCTCACCGCCGTTGTCAAGGCCAAAGAGATACATTGAAATACGATGCGCGTCATGCGCGTCAGCACGTGCATCACCAGGTAGGGCTCTGGCCTCGGCCATCCTGGCATCCCACGATGGGCACCCCACCGAAGCCAGTTCTTTCAAAGTGAATCGGTAAAGCTCCTCGCTGGTACCTGTCTCCACCGTCTGAAGGTCGGCGGCAAGTTTCAACGTGCTCATTACCGACGCGATCCAGCTTTCATCAAGATGCGTGTCACTACTCGATGCTGCCAAGCGCAAGCTGGTCGCATCAACAGCGCTCGTGCTGATCATTGCAACGTGGAACTTGCATCGTTCCACTGAGAAGTCATGGCTTGCATCTGATTTTATTTCGTGGGCCTCGATGTTTGTAGCCATGCTGAGATAAGCGTAATCGTTTTTTGATCTCACCACCTTTGCGCCTGCAACTCGGTATTCGTAACTGAGAACACTATGTGCCGCATCAACTGCGCCTTGGTGC